AACATTATGTACAGACCTCTATCCTGCTCCTGGCATTTTACCTGGAGTTGTCAGGCAGCAAACACCGTATCGACTGTTCTTTGGCCCTTTCTGAAGCCACACTGGCTCTCAGGTAGATAACTATCTTCCAGGTGAAGGATTAGCCTATTAAGATGGACTCTAGCAAGAATCTTGCCAGCAATGACTAAGAGAGACCTCCTCTATGAATGTTGCAGGACAGTCTATTTCCTTTACCTTCATAGTGATGGACAATGGAGGCATCCTTGAACTCCTGGGGGAATAACCTCTTTTTGCCATATAACCTGGAAAATTTCAGTCAGCTTGCATGTGCAATGGACCCCCCTACCTTGTAAATCTCAGCTAGAATAGAATCAGCATTCAAAACCTCTTCTTCTGTTGGAAACTTGGCTAGAGAGGGATTGACTTCAGCCTGAGGTAAAAAGTCAATGGCTTCAGCATTGATTGATGACAGTCTGTTGTGAACACTTATAGAAGTGTTCAGCTCATCTTTCTAGGATCATGTCCTTATCACTAATCAATGTGGCTCCATCTGCACCGTGTGGCTGAGATGCACCATACATCTCTGGCCCATAAATAGCTTTCAGGGCATCATAAAAGTGCTTTGGATGGTTTCTATCACCATAAAACTGAATTCCATCTACCTTCTTACTGAGCCAAGAGTCTTGCATCTCTCTAAGCTTCACTTGTACTTTATTTTTGATGGAGTTAAATGCTGTTTTCTTCGATATAGATGAACTATTCTGCTGGCAAACCCTGTGGAGGTCTCACTTTTCCTTTAGTAGCTTCTAAATTTCTCCATCATTTTCATCAAACCAGTCTTGATGTTTGCGAGTGTTCTGACCTAGGTGAGTAAATATGGTACTGTATACCAAACCTCTGTAAGATGCCCACTCCTTTTCTGCTCCACTATTGTCAACTGTGTGTTGGATCAGCTTTCCCTCCAAGTTAGCAAAAACTGTTGACACTAAGAGAAGCACTCCAATTTGTTGACATTAAGTCATCTTGCCTTGGGGCCACTGCTTTTGTTGAATGTAAATTTTTTTTTTTTTGATAAATAGTATTTTATTTTTTCCAATTACATGTAAAGAAAGTTTTCAACATTCATTTTTATAAGATTTTAAGTTCCAAATTTTTCTCTATCCCCACTCCGCCTCCTCAAGACAGCAAGCAATCTCATATAGGTTATACATGTGCAATCATTTAAATTCCATTACTCATGTTGTGAAGAAACAGAACAAAAGGGAAAAAAACACGAAAAACAAAAAAAAGTGAAAACAGTATGCTTCAATCTGCATTCATACTCCATAGTTCTTTCTCTGGATTTGGATAGCATTTTCCATCATGAGGCTTTTGGAATTGTCTTGGATCATTGTATTGCTGAGAAGAGCTAAGTCTATTATAGTCTATTATAATGTTGCTGTTACTATGAACTGTGTTCTCCTGGTTCTACTCACTTCACTCAGCATCCATTCATGTAAGTCTTTCAGGGTTTTTCTGAAATTTGCCCGCTCATTGCTTCTTATAGCACAATTGTATTCCATTCCATTCATATATCACAACTTGCTCAGCCATTCCCCAATTGATGGGCTTTACCTCAATTTCCAATTGAATACAAATATTTAGCTTGGAGAGGCTAAGTTTGTGATCAGTCCAGCACTCTGCACCACCCACTGGCTTCATTACTTTCACATCCTGCCTGTCTCTTCTCTTTACAATGACATAGTCTATTAAATGCCAATGTTTGCTTCGAAGGTGCATCCATGAAGTTTTATTGTTTAAGTACAATAGACAGTGTTGGTGATGAAAAGGTAATGAGATGCGCAAGTCTTCAGTAGTAAGTGACCACTGTGGTTGCTGTTTCCAACTCCACTCTTTTCAAGGACTCCCTATCTTGTCTGGTATATCCTGTATTATTCAAAAGCTTTTGTCGTAATATTTGAATGTCTTTCTCCTGTATTCTTGCAGAATTCGTTATCTGTTATTAGAATTAACTTTAACCATAATGTTTGAAGTGTAGGGATTTTTTTTCTCCTAGAAGTGATCAATGTATTATTTCAATTAGTGTTGTTTTCTGTATTCAGTTCTGTGTAACTTTCTTATTATATTTCTTGCCCTGTGTTGTTCAGATTATTTTTAAATTTATTATGTTCTTCTGGAAGACTTATGAGTATTAAACTCTACACATCTTTTCTTCAAGGTCAGTACCAATAGTTTGAATAAAGATTATGTATCCTTTTAATGTTACTTTTTGCTTCTCTTCAGCTAGATTTTTCTCTACTTCTTCTCCTTCCTCTTTTTTTTTTTTTTTTTTTTGGTTTCCCATATCAATTACACTCTTTTTTGTTTCATTGAAGGAACTCTCAACCATGGCTTCATCCCCCTCCTCCCTCTGCCAACTTATTCATTGAGGCTTTTTATTTCTGCATTGAGAACAACATTCCCATTTCCTTTTATGATAAATTTCATTTCTATTATGAACCGAATTTCATTTCTATTATGAACCGTTCTAGCATTTCATGTTGTTGTTTTCTGTTCTCTTAAGAGTTCACAGGATTCTGTGTTTCATCAGGCTTGGTTCATTTTCCTTTGTCAGTGTAATATTCATTCATTCATTCATTCATTTATTTATTTATTTATTTTTGCTTTTTGGTGAGGCAATTGGGGTTAAGTGACCTGCCTAGGATCACATAGCTAGGAAGTGTCAAATGTCTGAGGTCAGATTTGAACTTAGGTCCTCCTGACTCCAAGACCAGAGCCTTATGCACTGCGCCACCTAGCTTCCCCAAGTGTAATATTTATTAGAGTAACCACTGGAGTAGGGTGACCTCAAAGACCTCTGGGATTTGTAGTACTTCCCAGTTCGGAGAGAGAGGAAATTAATAAGATCAGCCTTCCAAGAAGGGTATAGTTTTTGATGGACAGTGATGGTGGAGTACGGGGACATGAGGAGAGGGGAAGAGAGAAGGGAAGATGATGGCAGCAGCACAATTATGGAACCCAGTGACTGTGAGGGTGTTGTCCACACTTATTGCAGTAGCAAGAGTGCTGAGGGAAAACCTCATAGGAAGGAAGTGTGGTCCCAATTCTGTTCCTGCCTTACTTAGACTCTTTTTTTTAATTGATAGAGGGCATTTGCCAGAAATTTTATAAACACCTGTGACTGATCTTGTCTTTAAGTTGCCTGGTTGCCTTTGTTGCTACACAAGGGTGTGAGAGACCAATGGGAACCACTCAATGAAGGGGGTGGAGGTGGGGCTTTCTTAATACAGTGCTAGAAGATGAAACCCCAGTCCACTGTCAGGGAGTTCTGCTCTCTAATTGGGGACATATGCACAAGTCATTTCATAAGTACAGAATGGACACAGAACTGGGCTCCACTGCATAAACTTACTTTATAGATGTGAAGCAAGGTTATATTAAGAAAGCTTTGTAATCTCTTTGAGGGTTTAGTACTCATGTTTCTAATTTAAGACTCCTCTGTTGATTTATCTCTTTATGCTCTGGATTTTTATTGAGTTTTTCTCCCTCTTAAAATCTTTATTTTTCAGCTTTCTTTCCTTTAGATTCTCCTGTCACTTGCTTTCTAATTCTCCTTCCTTTTGTGATAGGTATACTTCCAGGACTGAACTGCAAAGCTGCCTCAGCCTCCTTGTATGTTAGGGGATTTATGTTTCATTAACTTTGGTCCCTGCTGTGAGTATCATCTGGGGACGATTGGATTGGCCCCAGATGGATTTCAGTGCCCTTTCATTCAGTTCTGGTATAGCCATTCCTGCTGGTCCACTGCCCAACCTCTTCTCTTGGCTCTCATTCTTTTCCTTTTTGGCTGGGCTGAATGTCAAGTCAAGTTGACAAGCATTTATTAAGCACTTATTATGTGCCAGGAACTGTACTCTGCCACTTTTTTCAGGGTTGGAATAGGACAGAGAGGGCTTCCCAGACATAATCTCTGAAGCCTTGAAAGCCTCTAATTTAAGGCTATCCCAAACAGGGGGCAACATACTTTTCTCTCCTGACACATATGGCAGAGTAGAATCAAAGTCTGTTGTAAGGGGTGAGGTGTGTTGGAATAGTCTCTACAGCAGTAAGAGACTCTAATATTTGCCCCAGGCACAAGTTCATAGTTGGCCTTACATGGAGGATTATGGAGGAAGGGTGCTGAGTGAGTAGTTTAAAAATAACTCCAGTATTTGTTAATTCATAAGGATTTTACTTTGTAGGGGTTCCTTTTTTTTAATCCTGTGAATTCAGCTTTAATTGGTCTATATCTGCCACTTAATTCCTCTTTTGGGGTTTTTTGTTTTGTTTTGTTTTCATTTATTTCAGATTTAGTAAGAATTAGAGAAAGTGTCTAATTAGCCATCTTATTGGCCATATCATGTAGAAAATCCTTTCACATAAAAAAACTGTTTCATTTTTCTTGATTTCAATCATACCCAATCCCCTGTGTATCTCATTAGTTTTGTTTGTTTGTGACAAAAGCAAAAGCTATTACGTGAAACAGGTTCAAAGAAGCAATATGAATCAGAAGAGCAATGGATGTAGAGTCTGGATGGAGATGATATCCAAGCTCTGTTACTTAAAAACCATGTGACTTTGGGCTAGTCATTTACCTTCCCTATGCCTCAGTTGCCTGCTCTGTAAAATGAGGATAATAACACCAGCACTGTTATGGGAATCAAATTAGATAATGCACGTAGCTCATCTGCAAACTGTCAAGTGCTGAATCAACATGAGCTATGCTATTAACTTATAAGAAGTGTGGGAGAATTGCTTTGAAAGAGTAAGGCATTTCTCACTTTTCACTCAGTCAGTAAGGCACAAGCTTGTGTTTTCCTTCCTTCCCCCTTTGGATTACGTTACAAAAGCAAGTGCGCTCAGCCAAGGGCCGCAGAGAGCTGTTTCTCAGGAGAACCGGAAGGCATCGGCTCTGCCCCAAGCATGTGACTCTGGGTGTTTTGTATTTAGATTGTTCTTACCTTCACTGCTTCCCAGCTAGAATTAACAGGGTGGCGTCCAAATGGCCCAAAACCTGAAACCAAAGAAAACCCCAGCATGATTACACTCTGTTTGCACTTGAGTCGTGAGGGATTGGATTCTCTGCCTGACCTATATGCTTTCATTCATTCGGTTTTAATTCTTATAAACCTTTTCTCAGTGGTTATCCACTCTCCTGAACGGGCTGTGTTTCTCTCTGATACTTTTCTGTGCTATAATCATTCTTATGGGAAGTCTACATTTTCTTCTTTCCCACTGCAGGTTTTTTCACTGCTGATCCAGAAATGTTGCCCAAGTGCATGCTGTTATGTACCTGGCACTGTGGGGGAAACCAAAGGAAGCACACAGCATGTGAAACAAGTAAACAATGATACAAGATACTCTTTTTTGTAATCAAGTCCTAAATTAGAGGGTTAGGACTCCTAAGTGACTGAGCATTCTAGAGATTTTGTTGTTGTTGCTCAGTTGTGTCCAACTCTTCATGACCCCTTGGACCATTCTGTGTGTGGGGTTTTCTTGGCAAAGATACTAGAGTGGTTTGCCATTTCCTTCTCCCGGGGGTTAAGGCAAATAGAAATTAAGTGACTTGCCCAGGTTCACACAGCTAGTAAATATCTGAGGCCACATTTGAACTCAGGTCTTCCTGACTCCAGGCCCAGTGCTCCATCCACTGAGCCACCTAGCTCTCTGCATTCTGGAGAAGAGGTAGATTAGTGTGGGCTGGAGTAGTAAGGGAATTCTTCCCAGAGGAGGTGCAGGATAAGCTAAGCCCTAACAGAACCAGTCAATCAATCAATCAGTAAGTATTTAATAAACTTGTACTATGTGCCAGGTCCAAGTACAAAGAAGGAAAAAATTCTTCCCTACAAAAGTTTACATTCTAATGGGAGAACAAGTATATATAAATATATGTATGACATAAATATAAAGCTAATAAATACAAAAATATACAAAGTAGCTAAACACCAGGTAGTTTTGGAGGAAGCAGTTGGGAGGATTAGGAAAGACTTTATAAAGAAAACGGTGCTTGAGGTGTATTTTAAAGGAAGAAAAAAACTCCATTAGGCACAGAGAGGTAAGGAAGAAGTGCCTGCCAGACATTTAAGATGGCCAAAGGGGATTTGGATAGGGAGAAAGAGGAAGGAAGAGAGAAGGCATTCTCAACCGGGTTTCAGATGACTGTGAAGACACCAGACTGATAGAAGCAAAGAGTAAATAACAGTGAGTAAAGAGAGACGTAGTTGACAAGGTAAAAGGTGCCAGTTGATGTGTGATCTGGTTCTTTGTATTTGTAGGGTAATACAATCATAGATTTAGGAATGAAGGGACGTTAGAGGTCATCTAGTTCAACCCTGTCATCTTAACCATTGAGGAAACTGAGGTCCCCAAATATGAAGTCTTACTTAAGATAGTACATGGCAGAGTCAGTATCAGAACCCAAGTCCCATGATTTCAAATACAATGCTCTTTAATCCAGTGAAAACTGGGTTGCAAGTGCAGTTATATACATAGCACCCATCTTCTGTTGTCTGGAAAACACCCTCTCTGGGTCTCAGTTACATCATCTATGAAATAAGGGGGTTGTAATAGATGATCTCTGATGGCCCTTCCAACTTAAAACTTCAAAAGTCTACTTAGTACTTTTATTCTAAACAAAATCTGTTATCACAGTGATTTATCAGAACTTTGCTTTGGAAAACAAGGCAAAACACTGTTAGCACTAAATTAGTAAATGGCCCCTAGTGGCCTGAGATAGTTAAACTCATCTCTAAGCCTTTGGAAATTGCTTTGAAAACGACTCCTGGCCAAAGAATGGCTCGTTGATGTTTGCTACATCTCATTTTGGAGCTTCCAATCAATCAATCAATCAATCAATCAACATTTAAGAAGTACCTTCTGTGTGCCAGGTACTCTGCTGGGTACTTCAAAATAATATGATGCATGCTGTGGTATGTGGCTATGGATATCCCAGAACTGTACTTGGTGTCTCAGTTATTTTATCACCCAAACCAACTGTAGCACAAAATAGCCATTGACTTCTTCAACTCAGACCACTGTGCACTGTGATTTGTAGTTTCAGGTATGTTTAGGAGGGGCAGGGTACAACTGAGAATATAGTCATCCACATGTAGTAGTGTCTTCAGTGGTTTCCCCCTTTCTAGTGAATAATATCCAAAGTCAATAGCAGGGAATTTAAAGCCCTTCACAATCTGGTTCCCACCTGTCTTTGTACCTTGAACTACTACGTCTGTTCAAGTATGCGACACTTGAGTTAAACTGGACCGTTTACTTTTCCACTAAGACATCCCTTACTTTTCTACCACTGAACCTTTGTTTATAAATTTTTTTTTTGAGACAATCAGTGTTAAGTGACTTGCCCAAGTTCACACAGCTAGTAAGTGTCTGAGGCCACATTTAAACTCAGATCTACCATGCCACCTAGCTGCCCCTAAAACTTTGTTTATCCTGCTCACTATGACACCTTTCTTTACCCTGTCTCTCCCTTATATCCTTCTGTTGAAATCCCACCCATTCTTCAAAGCATGGTAGACTGAGAGCTGGAAGAAACTCTAGAGCACATATAATACAATCTTCTAATTTTGCAGATGAGGAAACAGATCCTGAGAGGTTAGGTGACTTATAAGGTTATACAGCTACAAGTAGAAGAACTGGAGTGTGAACTTAGATTCTCTGTATCTCTTAGATACATCATGGAGCATCTTCCAGATCTTCCTCAAGTAGTTTTCTCCTTGATTCTCTTCCCCCCTTTTCCCAAATGGATAGGATCTCTCATTCTTTGCAACTCTCATAGTTCTTGGTACTTCTCTTATGCACTTATGTTGTTGATTTACTTTGTTTTGTTTTCTGATCTGGAACTGATTTTATCAACGTTATAGAACTCTCAGTGTGGAAAACCCTTTGTCATCTTTATCATCTCATCTCAGACTCTGATGCAGACAGGTCAGGACTGAGCCCATGAGCCCTGAGAACAGCACTAACCTCCAAACCACTGGACCTGTTTCTCACCCAGCTCTTGCAGCCATTTATGGAAGGAAAAATCCTTGTGAAGAAGTGGCATACCTTCTTCATCACCACCAGCAGCAATTGTGGACCAACTGCCAGCAACAGACAGATGAGCACAAGAGTGCTGAGAGCGTCAGTACTCCCAAGACCACCTGTCCTGCTTCCAGCAGAATCCTCACAGTCATCATCCAGGGAAGCAACTCCTGCGAAGAACGGGCCAACTATTCCCACTACCTGCCAACCAACTGCCAACAGGGTAGTCAGCCCAGATTAGCTGAAGCAGTGGGGCATCCTGAGGGACAGACAGGAGGCAGCATGTGCCAGGCGAGCCACCATCACCACCTTGACCACTATCTCCCCTTAGCACCTGAGGAAGATAGCCCAGAACCCTGCAGCCAAGAGCCTTGAGAATAACAACCCAGAGCCCTTACCCATAATTCTAGAGGGATTTATCTAAGAATTTATCCTCCTACCCCCTTGCGTAGATGCAGCCTAGCAACTGCTCCCGTAGAGGCTGCAAACATGTCTTTTGAAGACCTAGAAAAGAAAGTTCTTGTCATTGTCAAATGGTTGACATCAGAAACTGATATAATTTAATTAGTGAAAATGACATTATAAAAGAAGCATTACCATCTGCTTTGCCACTATATTCTAAGTACCACAGAACTTTTCCATCTGACTTGCTGCTAAAATCTTCCATATGTATTGTTTCCCCCATTAAAATATGAGCTCCTTGAGAGCTGGGACCATCTTACTTTTCTATGTGAATTTCCAATGCTTAGCACAGTGCTTTGCACATTGTAAGCACTTATTTATTAAGCCTTAATAAATACTTTATTCAATCTTTCATTTGTTCCATCCATGCAGATTAGTAATCATCTCTATCTTATGAGATCATAGGATGATAGATTTAAAACTGGAAATGTCCTTAGCAATCATATTGTCCAACCCCCTCACTTTACAGAGGGGAAAACTGAGTCCAGAGAGGTTTAAATGATTTGGCCGAAGTAATACAGACATTAAATATCATAACTAGGATAGGATTCCAGTTCAAGGTCTGTGACTCCAATTTCAGTGCTCTTGGCAGTACATCATGCTGGCTAGATAAATTTATAAAAAGTATCATTTTTGCATGATGTTTTAATGCAAATACTATAAAGGGATAATGTAATATAGTGCAAAATCTGGGAACCAGATTCCTGGATTCAAATTCTGGCTTTGATATTAACTGTGTGAACTTAGCTACATCATTTCAACTATCTCAGACTCAGTTTTCTCACCTGCAAAAGGGAGTTAAAAATATTTTCATTACCTACTGCACTTGGTTAGCTGGTTCTGAAGAAAACACCTTAAAGTGTTACATGAATATGAATTGCTATTTTATCAGCTCCCTTACAAGATCTTATACTCCTTGAAGATAGGAGTAATCTTAAAAAAAAATCCTTGTGCTTCATTAACCTTTTGGTAGCATTCATTGTGTGTGTGTGTGTGTGTGTGGGTATCACAGTTACTTGATAAATGTTTGATGAATGAATGAGGCTGCTCCCAGATGACTATATACAAGATTACTTATGATTACAACTTGTTTCTACTAGTTTCCCAGTGGAATACAAATACAAAAAGTATTCGTCCACAAGCTTTTCAGATTACCTAATTGTGTCCTCAGGCATTGGCTTAATAACATAGATTGGATAAGACTCAGGCCCACAAAGATGATCTACTAAGCCAGGGAAGAACTCTGATCTTTGTGGAAGGAGTGCCCATAGCAATGACGCCCATAGCAATGACATCATTAATCCATAAAGTATTGAAAAAAGACAAGCTCTCATACAACTCTCACTTTAATCTTGGTGGTGTCTGAAAATGGGTCCAGGCACCATTTGGGCTGACAGAAACATCAGCAAGTTGCACACTAAGACGTAAGCAGATTTCAGCATACTGTCAATGATGATGTGCATACAGACAGTGGTATAAAATGTATTATCAAGGATACTGATGATAGAAGGAAGT